AGCGTGGAGCTGGTTCTTTCTCACTGCTCTGCTTCCTGCTAATTGCAGAACTGCTGGCCTTCTCCCCTTGACAAGGAAGAAAAACAAGGATAGGGGTGTGTGGAGAAAACAGTGACATTCAGTTTTAATTCATTTGAACCTGCTGCCAAGCTTAATTATGTAATGGAGGGAGTGAGCTTCCAGCCACTTGAGCTGGGGTTTCAGATGGTTACCATTCACCGGGGTTTTATCGAGGATTTTAGCAGTTACCATAAAGCATTAATAGCTGGAGTTGAACTAATCTCCCCACCCTGCCCATCACCAGATGTAGGTACAGAGGTTCCTGTTCCCAGACTTGATTATTTGTCACTAAGGAAAGCAAATTGAAACCAAATTGAAGTTGCTTTATTCCACAGTAAATGCATCAGTATTCTTTAGGGACAGCTTTGTCTTTCATTTTGTTTTCTTCTAAGTGTAATGTAGTATATGCTGTCACATAAAACTCAGGAATACAATGTTTATTCTAGAATTGGAGTGGTTTTCTCAGGGTTGCTTGAGACATTTTTCCTCTGAAATTTCATTTTAATTAGTGAAAGTGAATATATATGAATATTATAAATATTATGAATATATGAAATATAAATATTTCAGTGAAATATTTCATATTTGGCAGCTTATTCTTTGTTTATAACTTTGTTTCCTGGGGTCTGAGCACCCCTGTTGGCGTGGAGCTTTCTGTAGAGGAGATATTTTGTACGAAGGGGCCCCTCTCTCTCCTTGCCGGCATGATGGCTCTTTGGAAATACACTCTTCCCAAAGTTCGCCCATTACCTCCCTGGTTCAGAGAACACTCAGGTGTCTCATGCCCTCACAGGTTTCTTCTGTTTGGGTTGGAGTTCAGCCCTGGAGATCAGCATTGTGATTCTGTAATATCCTGTGTAACGTGTGGGGGTGGAAGGAAAGGGAGGATGCCATAGAAGAAGCCACATTGGAGTAGAGGCTGAGAGGCATGAAATCCGGTGCTGCCTTGCTGAGTGGCAGCACGGCTGAGCCAGAACTGTGACTGCTTGGCATTTATATTGTTCTTTATAGTCAAATGTATTAATAGGCATCTGTATGAGTTAATTCTCATTGTAGTCCCATGAAGGAAGTTAGCATCTTTTAAAGATGCTTTCAATTAATTTTGACAAATATTTACTAAGCACAAGCTATGCTATGTATTAGGTACAGTCCCAGTAACTGGGGCTATGCAAAGAAGTAATACCTGCTTGCTAAGAGTGCTCTTTTTTCTTTGAGTAACAGTGAGTGAAAGGCAGAATTGCTCTTTTAGTGAGGCGCAGCACTTCCTACATGTCTAGATCCTCTCACCTCCCCACCTTCTCAGGAACGTTATTCTATAAATTATCCCCTTGCTTCCTAAAGTTTTGATCTCTTGCCTTCTGCTTGATCTTTACTATCACTCTTCAAAAATGCAGAGAACAGTCCCATAGTGGGTGCAACAGATAAATATTTGTTGAATAACTCGAATGAATACTCAGTAGTTCTCTACCATGGATTCACACTGAAATCAGCTAGGGAACACACACACAAACACGCACACACATAAGCACACACCCCCACACACAAATGTGTATATGTGTATGTGTGTAAACACTTGAGCCACATTCCCAAAGATAGTGATTTAATTTTCCTGGGGTGAGAAATGAGCATTGATTTTTTTTTTTTTTAAGCTCCCAAAGTGATTCTAGTGTGCAGCTAAGGTTGAAAACCATAGTATCTCCTATCTTAAAACAAACAAACAAAGGCAACTCATCTGACTTCATATCCCCCTCTAACTAAGCCATCTCTTAATTCTCCTTCTCGGCAAGATAACCATAGAGAGGTCTATAAGCACTCTCTCTACCTCATCTTTCTCTCTCTTCAACTACTCAAGCAGGCTTCAATCCCACCACTTGCCTGAAGCAAATCATGATAATGACATCCATGTTCCTAAACACACTGGGCATTTTTAAGCTCTCATCTTGCTCACAGTCTCAGTGGCGTTTGACACAGTTGATTTCTCTCTCCTTCTTGGAACACTTTCTTACCGTGACTTTGAAACATCCTCTTCCCTTTTCATTTCCTTCTTGTCTCTGATTCTCCTTCAGCCTCCTTTGAAATCTCCTTTTCTTATCTGACACCTACATGCTGAAGTTGCTCAAGCTGCAAACCCAGGCCTTTTGTTTCTACTTATAGTAGGTGTTTTTGTCTATTTTCATCTCTGTAAATAATATCTTTATGCTGTTGAAGACCTAACTTATATTTCCAATCCTATCCCCTTTTTTGAGCACCAGCCTAATATATCCAACTGCTACTTGACACTTTTGCTTAGATGTCTCACAGGCATTTCTCACTCAACATGTCTCAAACTGATATTTTAATTTTCCCTCTTCCCTGTTAGATCCTCCTCCAGTCTCCCCATTTCAGTAAATCACAACTCCACCCTCCCAGCAGCTTATGCTGAAAAAACAGTAGTAATCTTTGTCATCTATGTCTCCCCCTGCTCCCAACCCAGTCAATCCATCACCAAGTCTTGTTAATTCTGCCTCCAAAATATCATTCAAATCATCCATTTCACCCCACCCATTTCATTGCCAGCTGCCAGTTGTCTGGATTGCTGTAGTGGCCCCTAAGTCATCTCCCAGATTCTACTGTTCCCACCGACCTTCTCCACAACCACTCAATCTTCAGCAGAAGCCAGCTACAGTGATATTTTAAGATATGTAATTCATTTCATGCCACTGCTTCTTTAAGATTTTCAGTAATGAACACTCAATAGTTAGATTCTATATTGTATGCTCTCATTTTCTTTCAAGGAAGGCATGCCATTTGGTAATTATAGATTAATTTGTATAGTTATTTGTTTTGTATCTATCACCCAACTCAATTATAAGCTCATAAGGGTGGAAAGTGGGGCTATTCTTTTCACTACTATATACCCTGTGCCAAGGAAAAGTGCCTGACATAGAATTTAATTACTGACTGAAAGAATGAGCATGGGAATGGATGAGAAAGACTGACTACAGCAGGAGGTGGAAGGAGGTGCCCTGTCAATCCTCACTCAGCCAGTTCTACTGAGAACTCAACCATTCCATTAGTAAATGTACCTACTGAAAGAGCTGGATTAAATCCTTTTATGGAATTGTTTTATTCCATGTCCTAACTTCAAAATCCGAGGAATTTTCAAGAATTGTGTCCTCCCTGGTGGGCTTCAGGGGCTGTTAGAAATAGTTTGCAAAGTGGGGTTATTAAAGCAGTTCATTGTATGGCATATTTGGAAAGGGCATATGCAGACTTGGCTTCAAATCCTAGATCCCCCAATTAAGCAGCTTGTGATTTGGCGCCAGTTGTGTCACCTCACCTGAGCCTCAGTTTTTCCTGTATACACACGAATGGGCATGAGGCCAATAGACATGAAGTTATAATTTCAACAGGTGTCAACATGTCAACCCCCCAGCACAGTATCTGGCGCATAGGAGATAATGTCTACATTTTAGTTTTATTTGCTGCTCCCATTAAATCTACGTCTTGACTTATTCTGTTCTTTTTCCCCCTTTTTCTTTTGCTTTTTCTACCCTATCTTACTCATCTTAGTGGGTAGTAATACTCTTATTACTCACAAAGTTTGAATTTTGTGGGAAGAGAAGAATTAGCAGTACTTACAGAGCAGGCTTCCTTTTGGATTAAAAATACAAACTTCACAGCCACTCTTCCCAGCTTTTCAAGAGCATTTTATGGTACACTGCTGTGTAACAAGTTCATTTTAGGATAACATGCTGGGAGGGAGAAAAAGAAGAAGGGATTTGAGGGGAGAAAATTTAAAAGTTAATTAAAGGAAACAAGTTGGTAATTGAATTCCCTTGCACTCTTCTTGGGTTATTTGAGGGGGTCACAGTGCATGGTTAGTAGGTAGTTTGCTTCAGTAGCTCACCTAGAAACTTCTAAATGATGCAAGCATGAGAGTGCAGAGCAAATCCCTGCCTGACTGATGAGTAGAGGTGTAGGATACTTATGGTGGGCTTTTTAGATGTGCCAAACAAAGCTGCCCTCATACTCGTTCTTCAGCATTTTTATTTTGAAATATTCTTGGCAGCTGATATTACTGTTAGACTAAGCCCTGGACTAATATCTTCTAGTTTATGGGCATGCAAAATCCTCTCTTCATTGGTTCTGTTTCATTGATTCTGGCAGTTTCTTTGGCATCACTTTGTACACACCTAGTTAGGCACACAGTCAGAGAACAGTATGGGCAACTCTTGTGCCCTTTTAGATTGTACTCAAGTAACATGTAGGTGACATGGGTCTTTGTTTCTTAATTTTGAAAGAAGCTTGAATATCTATTTAATCATTCTTTATCACAGATCACTTAAGAGTCAAAATAGTTTAAGAGGTTATCATTGAGAAAGACAGGGTTCTATAATGAATTAGTATGGGCTTAGTAATCAACTGGAACTAGGTTCAAACCTTAACTCTCATTCACAACGTTTCTTCATTCACACAGTCAACATATGTTTATTGAATGCCTACTGTGTGCCAGGCACTATTGAGGTTGCTGGTGACAACTTTATTCAAGTTCTATTACGGCTTTTATTAACATCAATTTTTTCGAGGTTTTGAAAATTAGCTTTAGAGATAGACTTTTCTATATTTTTCAACATTTTGTGCTCTTCATTCTTGGAACAAACCTATTGAAGGAAGAAGAACATGGTTAAATAATGTATTACCTTCCTCACCAAATTAGTCTACATCAAGTTACTTGATTGCATCTCCAGTCTCCAAAGCAATCTCTGCAAAAGAAGAAAGTTACTATTTTTTATTGAATGATATTGTAGTATCTTTCCCGACCTGTTATGGAAAAGATTGAGAGCCTTTATGTTGAGCCACAGTTGTGAATGCAAGTCTAAACACAAACACACAATCCTTCGGTATGAAAGAGAGGCAGCTATTTGTGAGTACTAACAAGGGGTTTTGTGCTTTCACAGGTTATGGTTTTGTAGATTTCGACAGTCCTGCAGCTGCACAGAAAGCAGTAGCATCTCTCAAGGCAAATGGAGTGCAGGCACAGATGGCCAAGGTAAGACTGGCGTTTAGACTGCCTTTTTTTTTTCTTTTGTGATAATATATTTCTCCATTGCTGTGAGCTGAATCAGAATCGAAGTTGGCAACAATTTGGGTTATATTTACTTGTTAGGGAAAATAAGAAACCTCAAAATAGGTTTGGCTTGGAAAAATCTGGCTGGTGTATTTTGTTGTTTCTTTGTGTATATTTATCAATGTGCTCTTTTGTTATAGTAACCTCATTAGTGATTTAAGGGCACTTATGAAGTGCTCTATTTTGCCTGAAAAGGAAGGTGTGTGTGTATGCGTGTGTGTGTGTGTGTGTGTGTGTGTGTGTGTGTGTCTATCTAGGGCTTTCACCAGTAATCAGTTCTGGAGTAGGACAGTTCTCAGCAAGCTGTCTTTGATAAACTGAGCTAAGAAATTGCTCACTCTCATGTTGGAAAGAGTTGATCGTTGAATGATGAGGTTGTCTTAACTGTGCAGGGAAATGATTTAACCAAAGTGTACATTGTCTGTATTGCTAGAATTTCATTTTGGCCTTTATATGTAGAGTTTTCCTAGTTAATAATTTCCTAGATAATGATAATTTTCAATACTAATTTGTTTTTATGTAGAACAAGTAATCTGAAACATTCTATCTGAAATTGCGATGCATTTTTATATTCAAGAAAATAAATAGGATCGTTTATGATAGTTTTGTATCCTGATTGCAGTGGTAGTTACAAGATTCTACACATGATAAAATTACATCGAGGTATACACACATATTGTTTCCTGGTTTTGATATTTTACTATAATTATGTAAGATATAACTTTTGAGGAAACTAGGTGAAGGGTACATGGGATCTCTCTATACTATCTCTGCAATTTCCTGTAAATCTATGATTATTTACAGATAAAAAGTTTAAAAAAATCATTCATAACATATGAATGCTTGGTACATATTTGCTTTAAAATGATGGTCATTTTTGATTTGTTCACATGCAGTGTAAGTTTTTAAATATTGTTCTGGTTACTACTGCTGAATTTGTTTATTTCCGGATTCTCAAAAGTTAGTTAGAAGAGCCAATAGACCTTGAAATCCGGATCTAATGTATTGGTGCTGTATTCATGTGTACACTTACCCTTACCTATTCCCATAAAGGCTGAGTCATATAATGATGAAGTCATCAAATTTTCTATCATTTGGGTTTTGTTATGATTGCTAACATTCTCTGATAAAATTTTCCAATTTCAACTTCAGATAACTAGAGGTGGGAAGTTTGGTGTTCTTCATCTTCAGTTGTCTTCTAGCAAGCTGATACCACCCATAACGTTTTGTTGTGGGTCACTTCCCATATAGATTACTTTGGTGGACTTGTTGCCCTTTACAACACATTAATTGTTTTTCAAGATGGTATAAACTAGAAATTTGAATTCTTTCAGCTGTGTAATGTATTCCTCATCAGGATTGTGCCTGGAAGCTTTGAATTTAGTCATGAACTAAGATTGATGAAGTTAATATTTGTAATTAATAAGGAAATGATGTACATGTCTTGCTTTAAAGCTTACTTGACAAAAGAGTCAAGTTACTTGGCAACTTAAGTAGCGACTTATTATACCCAGGAAACAAATTATAAAATATAGTTGTTAGGTATATGCAAAGTACGAATCTTGAACTTGGACTGAAATGCAACACCTATTGACAAGAAAATGATTATGAAAATGCTTATAAAAATTGTTATTGGAATATCTTTGATCTATTCTTTTGATAAACTACCAAATTTTGGAAATTGCTTGATTGTGGCAGTTTAGAACTGATGAGTATAGTGTGCATAATGTTCACTGTTTCAAATGTTCTGAGAATGTGTATATATGTGTTGTGATACTTGGATATAAACCACTACCATCTTGTGCAACAGGAAAAGAAGGTTGGCACTGATTTCGTAACTACTGAGGAGCCGTTATGAATATTTTCCCTGTTTCTGAGCATTCTAGTACACAAGGAATCTTTCTCTGTCTCTGTGTCTCTCTCTCCCTTTTTTCACACACACGCACCCACACCCACACCCACACACCCTCCCCAATCACTGTTATCTCAGCTCAACAGGTTGCTCTCGAAGAGAAAATATTTTAAAGAGCTTTTAAAAATGTTATTCATTATAGCCAGCATTTTGATCCATAGCCCATGTCCAACGTACACAGTAAGGAGATTCCAACTGGGATGTTTAAAGACACTTATTTTATTTCTGGAGTTGCTGAAAGATTTTGACCTTATTGATTATGCTGTCTGTGGAGTAAATTCTTATTCTTCTTTTTCTCACAAAGTTTGAATCTAAAGCCCAGAGCTTTAGAGCCACATCTGCCTACTGGAAAACTTTCAGCAGTAAATGACTCTGTAATTTAACTACCCAGAAGCAAATAAATAGCCTCCCTTTGACAATGAAATAGAACAAGCTTGGCCACCTGTATTAGCAGATTTCTCACTGAGTTATTGGATTTCATGGCATTTTTTCCCTTTGTCCTGGTGATAACTATTATTTATTATCATATAAACCTGCAGTCTGCAGGGTGTGTGAGACTTGCACTATATTTTTTGCCATTTAAGTGTCTATTGAATTGCCTCCTGATCCTTGTTCTTATCAATATCCTACTATGCAGGTTGTGGTGCCACATTTTAACGACTCCAGGATTTTAAAGCAAAAATGCTACAAATAATCTAGGTTCCCAGTAGCAACCTGGAGTGAACATGAAACTCTCCAAGTGAATTGCTTTATTTAGCTAACTATTCTAGTGTGTGTATATGAAAAATTCAACTGATGTGTCAACCAAGAGGAATTAAACAATAAATCATCCAGTAAGTGGTAATTGATTAATAATGTAAAACCATTAACACAGACTAACATTTTCTGCATACTTGCTGTTCTGTCAAAAAGAGTTTTTAGAGATCAAAGGATGTGTTTCTTTTAGGACACAGATTTAGAATATTTTAGTAATACATAGTGGTTAAAAGCATAAGTTTGGAGGAAGATAAACTTGGCCTTGAATCCTGGCTATGATAACAACTGGCTGTGTGACCTTGGCTAAGTTATTTAAATATCTCTGAAACTCTCTAATAATAATAATACGTAGGTTATGGGACTGCTGTGAGAATTAATTTAAAAAATACACAAAGAATTTAGTGTAGTGCTTAGATTATACTAAAATTCAATCATTGTTAATTATTCAATAAATGTTGTTCTGCATTAAATTCAAATTTGTTACTGAACCTTGTATAAATTCTAACGTGTGCCTTAAGTATTATGTTATTACAAAACAGTTTCTTGAGAAATATAATAAATAGTATCAATCAGCAAACATTCGTTTTGCCTGCTAAGTGCCAGGCACTGTTAGAGAACCAAGATTGAGTAAAACTTCTTTCTTATTCTGAATTTTTAACATTTAGTCTATCTCCCGGGATTGCCACAGGTCTAGATTAAGAATATTGGCTGTTGCTGTTCTTATCAACTTCAAGGTATTTAGAAGAAAGTCATTGGCCAAGGAATTTGTCTCTGTAAGCATGAAAAGAAAAGAGATGAGAAAAACCAGCTAAGAATGGTTTAACTTTGTAGGTGTCTGTTTTACTTGTTAACAAGAAGGCTGTAGATAGACAGTGAAGGGCAAATGCTTTGGGATGCCATCAAGGATCAAGGCTGCTCTGTCATTCTTTATGTTTGGCTTTCATCCATACATTTACATGCTCATCTCTAAAACGCCACGTTGTATCCATATTTTAGCCAGGAAAACAGAAAGAGTAAAAGGCTGAAGAATCATTATGGCTGATTTTGGCCTTTTAAAAGCTTTCCAGAATCTTAGCTCAGAAACTTGTGTTTATATCTCAGTGGACAAAACTGAATCATATGGTTTCTCCTTAGCTGCAAGAGAGTCTGGGGTGATGAATATTTTAGCTTCTTTGCCTCTACTAGAAAAACTTAAGAATAGTTCATCATCTTGCCTATCCAACATCCATGACACTATTCTTCCCATTCAAACATTTTGGGTGGCATGCATTCATTCTTTCCCCAAGGGAACCTACCTCAAATCCTCATCCTATAACCATATCCAATGATGCTGTCATCTCTAACAGGCCCAGACACAGCTGCTCCTTATGACTTAGCAACCCATAATTTTAAAAAACAAATTATCTGCCTGAACATCTACAATATAGAATGACAGAGAAAGAATAGGATACATGAAACTAAAGGAAAACTACCATTTAGGAACAGAAAGAATGGGCAACAAGCATAAATCACTGATTGCTAATGTGTATCAAATCTTGTTGGGCAGGAAGAGAATTCTTGCTTTGTCAGTGCAGTAAGTTCCTTGGTTAACCAATCATATAACTCCTGCCTGCCATCCAGAGGGATCTCCACTGCCCATTATTCCCCATGGCCTCCTGGAGTCCTCAGTGGAGGGCTGTACAGCTTTAGAAACTGAATTTTCCCATATGTAAATTGGGAGGCTCTGGAATGGATCTACATACTGAATAGACACCAATTATTGCCAGCCAAGCCTTGCGTTATCTCAAGCTTAGCAGGCCCCTTTCTTATTTTGTGCCATGTTAGTAATGTTGAGTTGATTTTGACTCCTAGTGACTCTGTGTACAGGAGAGTGGAGCCCTGCCTGGTCTTTTTGTGCCATCCTCTCACATTCTAGTGCTGTATCAGACAATGCTCTGCTGCTATACATAGGTTTTTCACGGCCAATTTTTTCAGAAGTGGGTAGCCAGGTCCTTTTCCTAGTCTATCTTAGCCTGGAAGCTCTGCTGAAACCTTTCCATCATGGGTGACCCTGCTGGTATTTGAAATACCGGTGGCATAGCTTTTAGCATCACAGCAACGTGGAGCTGTCACCGTATGACAACTGATGGATGGGTGGTGTGGTTTCCTGATGAGGAAACGAACCTGGGCTGTGGTGATGAGAGAGCCGAATCTTAACCACTAGACCACCAAGGCTGGCTCTTTCTTATTTGCTGTCTGTCAATTCTAAACGCAA